ATATATATTTTCACGTATCGCCGAAATAAAAATAACTCAAATAAAAAGTTATTATTATTCATATTAAGTGCACGATGTAAATTTATAAGCCTATTACGCCCGCGCGTTTCATATAATGTTTTAGAAACCAGTCGCAGGATCCAGAAAGTACTGCACGGAAAATGAGAGTCTTGCGTGAATAATACTCGACTCATGAGCTATGGCCTGTGCTCTGTATATGTGTATCGGTATATATTTTACATCACGACGGGGGCACGAATTTGGGGGCATTCGGCGATTCGTGGAATTTGTTCTTCGCTATCGTAATGCTCGTATCACACTAGAGATTGCAGATTGATCTGTGATCACGCTTGTGTCTCTTGACTAATCAGAAAGAAACTGTTGGTTGGTAGTTCACGGAAAAAAACAGCTGAAAATTTAATTGATTCAACAAATCTACGGCCCGAATTCATAGTAAAATGAACGGAGCTTACTATAACAAGTTAATCATCATGTATGTATTGTAATTTATAATAGTAATTTATGTCTCTGAAGAATTAAAAATGCCCGCCGAAACATGTAGGCGCATTAATTTACAATAATAAAGAGTTTTGTGTTACATTTGTATATTATTTTGCGCAACGATTACAACGTCTGACTCCTATTTGCCTTTTTTTTACTTAAAGTGGTTCTTTAAATCGAATTATCATAGAAATGTCTAATTTTTTTATATAATGAAGTTAAAGTACTGACATGAAATTAACATGTGCAAAATTCTACGGTAAGTTATCAATGAAATAAGAGAGAAAAAAATGTAACATTTCACGTATAATTTAGTGACATATAAGATTCGTAGATGTTTCTTTGATTAATTGCACATAAATCCTAGACTTTTCTCAAAAACAAGATTATAATAGTTTAAAAAATTACGATTTTAATGGTCACAGAAAAATAATAGATCATTCTGGAAAGATATTTAGTATTGAAGTAGCAAAATATCGAGTGGAATGTGATGATGACAGATAAATCTAGCAACATTGCTAGAAAATATTTGAATGCTGCAAAGGATGCAAATATTGTATATAAACAAATTCAAATATTTGGTTTACGCAGATTGTGGAATATAATAATTGAATAAAAATGTTGGAAAGTAAGAAATTATTAAAATAATAATAAATGTAAACACATTTAAAACGGGATAATTAAAATAACATTGTTAAAAAATTCTTTATTTTATTAACAAAATTTGTGCATATATCTACGTTTACAAAAATAATATACACAGAATTATACAAATATTACAATTTATACTTTTAAAGTAGTATTTTATTCCATTAAATTTTGTTAAAGTCGTTACAAATTGCAGTAATAATTTTTTCGCTTTTTTAAATTTGTAGAAAAATGTCAAATGCTTCACATGATCACTATATAATGTGATGCGTATTAACGGAATGATTCCATCTTTTTTGTACAAAAAAAAAGATGTGCACTTTTTAAAATTATTTTAAAATAATTTAATTATTGTACAAAAAATCGTTTTGTTACTAAGTGTACGTGATAATGCAACTCTTGAAGAAGAAAAATCCCCTTGCAAATTGCTATGCAACTGCTCAAAGATGAAGAAATTAAGTTTTTTCACAGACAAGTTTTTATTGAACAAATGGCTTTTTGCAAAACCTAATGAACATTTCAAGCTCGTTCAGGGCCAAATTTTTTTTGTCATCACGAGGGCTACATTTTATGAGAATTTTAAAGTACTGCGCTTCAATCTCGATGAACAGAGAGAAGTGAAAAAAAGGCCTTTTTCGGTGTGGTTTTTATTTATTTTTTCTACTTAACTAATAGAACGATCTTAACGTTCCACATCTCATTTTGTAGATATTTTAAATACCTACATTTTTCATACTTTTTTGTATATAATTATATATCATTTAATATAACATTTTTCGTTTTATAAGCGAAAAACCTGCTTTTTGCAACTATTCGAATTTTTTTTCGCATATTTTTCACACAAGTTGCAAGTCTCAAACATATATATTTCTTTTCTGATAGCCTTCCAAACATTTTCGTGCAGAGAAATGTCAACTTATAATTTTTGTGCGAAACGGATCTTTTTGAGTCTAATTCTACTATTAATAGTAGCGACGTGGAGCCGATTCTTTCGAAAGAAAAGAATTGTGGCATCCACAGGAACAATAGTAATCATTCACAAAAAGTATTCATGTAAAAAGGATCATCTTCATATTTATGAATCTCTCGAGATAACTGCATAATTACACTACAATTTCTATAAAAAAAGAGGAGATGTTGGTAGCAATGACAACCTCTAGGCATTGCAATTTAATTTTCTATCCTCCGATAACGGTCTGACAGAATTGAAAAAAGGGAATAAGCTCCGCGAAAACTCGTAAACGCCAATCAACCCTAGGAAGGAATAACAGCCTTAATGCAGGTCTGAAAAATGACAAGATTGCGAAAGACATTATAAATGCAATCCGTCTAAAACGAGTCATTCTCAGACTGTAGTAGATTCTCGAACAAAGCACTCAACATATTCACAAGCTTTGAAAAATTTGTTTTAATTTCTTTATGCGATAATTCACTTAATTTAATGATAATACATGCCATGAAAATGTATAAATTGCAGTTATCCAAAGTGTATGACCAATGCTGCCAGATTGAAAAATTGGACGGTAGATGGTACACCAAAAAAGCAGATTTAAAATTTAGACCGTTATAGTCAGATCTTAGAAGATCCGCACAATAAAAGAAACAGGGAACAGAGAACAGAGAATAAGAATTTCAACTTATCAGAAATCAAGCATTATGGAATACACAATTTCTAATAGGTTGAAATTCTTATTCTCTGTTCTCTGTTCTCTGTTCTCTGTTCTCTGTTCTTTGTTCCTTTTATTGTGCAAATCCTCTTATATTCAAGTATTGAAGTACTGTCTTAAATACGGTCTTAAGAAATCACGAACTAATCAGAGGACTGCATTAGCGTCTTAAGACATTACTTAAGACGGTCTTGGAATAAAAATCGACTATGAATATCTTTACGGCCTTAAAGCGATAAAGTCTTTTTTCAAGTAATTTCGTAAAACTGTTAGAAAATAAAAATATTGGAAAAAAAATATTGTAATTGTAAGTAATACATATCGAAAACAACTCAGTAGCATATAAAATACAAATTATACTAAAAAGAATGTACTCATACTTTTTTCTTTAATTTTTATTTAATCTCATTGAAAATGAATATTACAAATTTTATAAAAAGTAACAGAAAAAAAATTCTAATCTGTATAAAATAAATAATTCAAATATTTATTATAAAAATAATACAACATTTAATAATCTCAATAGTAGGAAGAACAAAAATTATAATTTATATTTATAATAAAAATATATTTTTTTTGTTTTCCAAGAAACACAAAAAAAAATAACATAACATTAATATTACATTTTTTTCACTCAATAATGCAACTACAATGTATGCTTTATGCATAACAGTAACCTTATTGAGTGGACAATTATAACGTTATGTGTTATTGTTATTTTGTTTTTTCTTCACTCCGAATCTACAATAGGTTTTTAAGCCTTAAGTCATAAGGAGACGAATCATCAATTATTCTCCTCACACTTAACTGTAGTCAATTTCTTACGGCTTAAGAGTGAAATCACACAGTGCGGAAAACGACTGCGGAATAGAGAATGCGTAGATAGCTTCATAGAAGCAACCAATCAGCGTTTTTCTATGTTCCGAATAGTGCTAATTGGTTATTTTAATGACGTATTCTCTATTCCGTAGTCCTTTTCCACATCGTGTGATTTCATCCTTAAGCCATAAGAAATTGACTACAGTCAAGGCTTGACACCTATTGTAGATCCGGACTTAACCTTCACTATGTGAAATACCTCGGCAACGAATTAACTTAATTAATGTTTTGTGAATAAACATTGCATAATGTTATTAAATATATCATATTGTATAGATAATGACATTGTACGTCGAAGTGATGTGAAAGGGGAAAATATTAATATTGTTAAGAACCTATAGTTCCAGTCGAAAAGTTTATAAGATGTGACACCAGAAAGCAATACAGAAATTCTGATTACAGAAATATGTTTAAGAGAACCTTTGTGGAATCAGAACGTTATGATCGCACAGCGACATAGAAGAACAATGGATAAGCTGTAGCAAGAAGTCAGCGAAGTAACAAAAGGTATACATTCAATTTTCAAATAAATTATATGAATAGTGATGAAAATTTGGAAGAAATTGCCTAGATGAGTGACTTATGTGATAATAAGAAAATTTTTATATAATTCTCTTGATGTCGCAGGCTACTTTTTCTAAGTCATTTCTTTCAAACTATTTATCCCACCATTCATACTATTTATCGCTATGTTTACACTGTGCATTTAGGCCGCGGCCTATACAATAAATGTCCTTGTTTAGTCAAAGTAAGTTAAACAAAGATACTTATCGCATAAATCGTAGACTAAGCGCACGGTGTAAACGTAGCCAATATATAATCAAAGTTCTCAGTTTTTTTTATGTAGTTGTTTTTCTTATGTAGTACACAGTACGTAGTTTGAGTACACAAGATTATTGTAAATATACAATACTTATAATTAATAAAATTATAAAAATAAAAAAAAATGATTTTATTTTAAGAGTATACTCTAGCGAAGAGTGTTAGTGCTCTAGTGAAAAGAAAAATCTCCGTAACTGTTTTATGTGGATTGTTTCAGCGGAGAAGCTGCTAAGTGGGGCGGCAAGTCAGTCGGAGAAGAATGGTTTTTATGAGTCATTAAACTTTTTGCGTGACACATTATTAAGAAGAGACTGAGTACAAGAAAAAAAATTTTTTTAATTTTTAGAAAATATGTTAAATGCATGGCTAAAGTAGAGGTTATTTGTATTTTCAAGATCTTGAATATTTTCATTCTGCATACTTCAGAAATATTATTGTAATTATACTTGAAATTTTTTGTAGAGAATATTCACATGCGATTTACGTGAAGAAATTATGGGCAGCTTGGAAATAGTAGAGAGCCATTCTTGTCTAATATGCAAAAGCAATTTTTGACGAAAATCTTTATTTTTATCCTCATATATATCATGTATAGATAATGGAGACATTGTATGTTGAAGTGATGTGAATATTTAAGAGAGAATCAGAATATTACGATCATACGGCAAGATGAAAAAACGATGGATAAACTGATGGCAAGAAGTCAACGAAGAACAAAAGATACACAACTAAGACATTCAGTTCAAATGAGTTACATGAATACTGATGAAAATTTGAAAGAAATTGCCTAGAGTGACTTATGTGACAAGAAAATTTCTATATAATTCTCTTGATGTCGCAGGTTTTTTCTAAGCCATTTCTTTCAAACTATTTATCCCACCATTCATACTATTTATCACTACGTTGCATTTAGGCCGCAGCCTATACAATAAATGTCCTTGTTTAGTCCCTGTAAGTTAAACAAAGATATCTATCGTATAAATCATAGACTAAGCACACGTTGTAAACATAGCCAATGTATAATCAAAGCTCTCAGTTTTCTTATGTAGTACACAGACGTAGCTCGAGTACACAATATTATTGTAAATATACAGTACTATTATTATAATTATAATAAAAAAAAATATGATTTTATTTTAGAAGTATACTCTAGTGAAGAGTGCAAAAGAAAGTGAAAGAATCTCTATGAGTTTTATGTGGATTGTTCAGCGGAGAAGCTGTCAAGTGGGGCGGCAAGTCAGTCGGAGAAGAATGGTTTTTATGAGTCATTAAACTTTTTGCGACACATTATTAAGAAGAGAATACAAGAAAAAAATTTTTTTATAATAATTTTCAGAAAATATGTTAAAAGCATTGCGTAAGTATTTGAATTATTAATTATGAAGCCACATATTAATAATTATTACTATTATTTCAGAAGTGTATCGAATACGCCAGTCTCTAACAACTATATAAATATCGAAGACGAAGAAGAAAAAGAGGAAGAATCTGCACAAGATGATATCCCTAGTATGTTGCATTTTATGCCCATCATTTTAATTTGTATACATATATCAATATGTATACTTATTATTTTCAGAGAAGCAGGAAGCAAAGGATAAACAGAAACTCAAACCAAGTAGTATTATCCTGGCACAAATAAGCGAGACATTATATGAGCCGCCGCCGACAATTTCTTTGCCATTCAATTCCAGTAACGAACGAAGAAGATTTCTGAATGATGATTTTTTCGCAACTTCGTCAATTTCTAAGATTTCAGGAGACAACTAATGTTGAAAATACATAAAATGTTATATAAAGAATTAAATAAGACTGAGTAATAAGTAGAATATGAAGAAAATGTATTATAATTTTTTTATTATTATTTTTTTAATATATTTTATAATAAAATATTTTATTAATATGAAGAAATAATATAAAAAGCTTTTAGAGATTTTACAAATGTTTTTTTATTAGAATATTTTTTAACACAAAATAATCATTTTTAAACAAAAAGTTGTTAGTAATAATTAGTACGAAGTTATTAGTAATATTAATACAAAGTTACAACAATAATGTTAGTACAAAGATTAATGTTTTATATTACTTAATAATAACTTATAACTTAATTATTAGTCTCACTGCCATGGTACGCCACCTTCATTGTTGAAATATTGGCAGAAAAGTTCTCTAATTCTGATGGCTTCTCGAGTACTATTATGTGTACCGCAATTGGATATGTCTATAAAAGCACATCTATTTTCTATTATTATTCTCCATAAACCTAGTAATATGCACACCATTTGCTATTTCTTTATTCAATAGGTCTAAATGTTACATAAAAGTTGTTCTTGGAGTCTTTACGAAGTCAGTAATGCAAGTAAATTGTATTTTTAATCATGTTCATGTGTCTACGTTGGCAATAATTGGCTTTCTGTAAATCCTCTATTGACTTGCCAGAATTCCGAAGACGTTTTCGATGATCCATCTGGTACGACTTAATCGATAATTATAAACATGATGATCTGCATTTAATGTCTTTTTGCCCCCTCATGCTACAGAGCGATTGGTTTTTACTTATGAATTCATAAGTAAGAATCGATCTCTCGGTGAGCAGACTGCATTCCGAAACTCATTAAACAAAAAGTGTTGCAATCTTTATTTGGTGAATACACATACGTATTAACATCGACTTACATACATTTTTAGTGGACTTAATTATAAAGCACGGCATTCACACAAACATAAGGCAGTAAGATGTAGCAGTAATCGCAATCTTAATTACAATAGAGAACGTAAAATGACTCTTGTGATTGATCGATTTGCTTATTGCTACATCTTAATGCCTAAAAGCCATTCTGCATTGATCATATCATAGCGTCGGAAGCGTCGTAAGCATCATCATGCGACTTTCCGATAAAAAATCACTTTTTTATGTATGAATATGTATAAATATATATATAAACATATATAAACATGCATAAATAGTCATAAACATGTATAATTATGTATGAAATATGTGTTTATACATTTTTTTTTTATAAAATTACTTTTCAGTGTAATAGAAATAATATTAGTAATGTAAAAACATAAAAAATAATTAAAGGGATAATTTCACATTGTTTATTTAAAAAAAAAACAAGTTTCAAAAAATATAAGGAAAAATGTGCGGAAAGTCGCATGATGATGCTTCCAACACTACTATATGAATAGCCTTTAGACATTAAGATATAGCAGTAAGTAAATCAGCCAATCATAATGGTCTACAATGGGCAGTAACAATAGTTGATTAAGGAGGGATAGAAATCGACCAATCATACTTGATTATTTTTCTCACATTCAACTATGATTGGTCGATTTCTAAGTCTACTCCTTAATCCACTATTGCTACTGCCCATTGTAAAGCATACATAAATGTGCCGAGGGCTTTATACTTAAGATCACTAAAAATATATGTTTTAAATATGTTTTAAAATGTATACAAAAAATTTTGTTATATAATAAATTCTAATAGCGTTTTCGGTTCGACCGGATCTGCACCAACTTGGGTTAGAAAATGTTTCGCTATTGGTTGACGTTACACGCTCTATTAATAGGAGAGCATCGAAACATCATTACTTTAACCTAGGTTAGTGCAAACTCAATCGGACCAAAAATGCTTTCTGTTTTTTTTTCTAATTTTCTGCTTAGTGAACTCTGGAGGAGATTGTCTCATCCGCCCTCCTCCCAGACTCTGAATCTGCCACTTGGTGTTGTTATTGCACATTAGTTGGGCAGTCTTCGTTTTACACTGCATTCTTTATCGAATAAATCAGATATTTAATAGTGGCTGGTTTAGCTTGGAATTCAACAACGGAAATAAATTTAGGACCTAATAATAATTACATTTTCGAGTTGTCTGCATCAGTTAGGTAACTATAAAATTTGCAATCCATGATACATTCATATTTATTATGTATTTTATAAAATCGTTATGTTTTATAGATGTATCATGTAGTTATTGGGTATACACGTGTTTCAAGATTCGGAATATAAAATTGGCAATGCGATACATGGAGTTAGGACATACGAACACAATAATACTAACATTAAGTAAACATTAAAAATTATAAACGTGGTTTATATTTGTAAACAATATAAAAAAGGAACATAAAAACGCAAGTTGTTATTAAAATGTCCAGTGTGCAGGAATCATAAGCGTATAGGTAAGGAATAGAAAATGTTCTAGTGTAAGATAAAAATTAGGGCGTTGCCATAATCCCAACAGTACAATTTTCTTCCTTTCGATACAAAAATCGATTTTTTCATACGACTTCACCGTTCTCTTTTGAACGTTCAGCTATGCTATGTTATGCTATGCTATGCTATGCTATGCTTGGGGCTGTTGAGTACCGTTCTACAAATAAAGAGTATCCCAGTTGTATTGAAGCGGAAATTTTTGGTTTCAGGATGTACATCTTGTTATTGACTGTTCGATCAGATTGTTTCGAAGCAGAGATACGGTCTTGATGTTCGACGACAATTCGTGTTCTATCAGCTCTGGTTGGGTTTCCTGATCGTGAGCTTCTTGACACAGGCACACGAATTGCTGGAGGATTACCAATTTTACAGGACGATCGTAACACGCATGAAATCTTCGTTTTGCATGAGATGTTGTCGGCTATCGATTCTGATTGACTCATCCTGGAACCTTTTGATCAAGCTGATCTGAACTGATAAATCGCAAGCGTTTCGAAGAATCGCTAGAATATCTTATGAAAGTTGATGAGAGATTTGTTCTTTAGAGAACTTCGAGAAACTAGAGCATTTGCCACGTTAATTTTTTTTACCACTTGCTCTTTCCTTGCTACGCTTGTTATGTAATAATGGATCTTCTCCGATTAATTAATACATTAAACATTCGTCTTTCCCCAATGTTTCAACAATACTAAAAATATTTTTTCGATGCTTATAAAAATATATATATATTATTCTCTACGTTGCGTTGGTACAATTATAAAACACTTGTAGTTCTAAATAAATATCTAGTCAATGCTACTCTAATATCTTTGTCTCTGACAACTTTCATATAACTGCCAAACATTATATGTAAAAACAGATTAATTTTTTTAACGTTATACAAAAAGAATCAACAAATCGTTAGTAACCGAGAAGAGAAAAGTATTATTTTTAAATGTTTTTGCTAATTTTCCAATATAAGATATTATTTGATAAATGTTCATTTACTTTCAGGAAAAGATTTATTTTCATATATATGCAATGTCTTTCTTTCTCTTTTATTTTGTACTTCTCTTCAGAATGTTTAAAAAACATCAAGAAAATGTTAATTAAAATATATACTCGTAAGAAATAAAGAGAAATATCACTATATTTTATTGTTGCAGAAATGGTGGAAGATTTTCAAAACTTAAACAATAAATGAAAACACGGGCCAATTAAGAGCCTACATTCGTACTAATTGGAACAATTATATCAACCTATATTTCTCAGTACTACACATAATACCGAACGTTTCGGCTTAATTCAATCTATCTTCATTCGATTTGCGACTATTTGAATTGCATTAAGGAAATTGTATCATACGAGATTACTAAGATGTTTGGAATTATTCAAGGGGATTTAGTATACTAGACTGCTGAAAATAAGTCGCTTGAATTAAGTCGAAACGTTGGATATTTGTTACATATTGTACATATTGTAGTACTGAGAAAATATATGTTGATATAATTGCTCCAATTATTGCGAATTTAGGCTCTAATTGCCCGCGTTTTCATTTATTGCTTTTATCTCAAGAGCCCTCTCTCTCTCTCTCTCTCTCTCTCTCTCTCTCTCTCTGCCTATGAATAATCCATCAAAGAGTGCGTTTCGAGTTACGCATGAAGCGCATGATGCATCACATTTGTCTTTGTTTTTCACCAAATAATAAAGAAGGATAAAGCAATACATCATACGCTTCATGCGTAAAGCAGGGAGCACAGACTCTTGCATAACGCATGATACATAAAGTATAACAAATTCAAGCAATTATAGTCTTTATTTCATGGAAAGGAAAGAAACGAAGGACTTTGATTGATTCAATTTCTTATGCATTACGTATTATGCAAGAGTCTTAACTCAGAACACACTTAATATCATGGAGCATAAGAGGCTGCGCACAATGAAAGAAATAGGGAACAGAGAATTTCAACTATTAGAAACTGTATATTCCACATGATTTCTTCTTCAGAGATTGAAATTCTTATTCTCTATTCTCTGTTCCCTATTCTTTTTATTATGCGCAACCCCTAATGCACACCGCAAAAAAAATCTTTATGAATGTGTATATCTTTATGAATGTGTAGGTGGACATCTCTTCCTTCCTAGTTTCCGGGCGTAGGTGAACTCCCACTATATGGTCGATATCGAATGTATTGTAGTGGTGAGATGAAAGGTGGGGAGATGTTCTCCCCTTCTAACGTAGCAGGGTGTTGCCAGATTTCAGTGTGCATGGTGGGGGAAGAGTGGGGATTCAGGAGAATCCTGGCGTCTATCCTTTATTATTTGCGCTCCGTCCTGTTCTGTTGAGATGGAGAGATGGAAGCGTTTCGACTCACGAGCAGTGTTGGACAGGCCTGCCCTA